TATGTGCCCATCCCAAGTCTGGAGCATGTCATTCAGTTGTTATCGTTGGTTATTGTCTGTAACGCTGTTTTTCGTGAATAGCTTTATCATAAATCAGGACATGATTTTCCTTGTTTAAATTGTTTTACATTTTGAAATGTAATGTTTTACATTTTGAAATGTAAGAGCTGAGCTCTGGGATATAAAATCAGCTGCCAAATATGAAAAGTGAATTGTAAAAATTTATCAGACTTCGGTTTGTGTCATTTAAAGTTTATATCAAACATATCGTGACAGTATTCTGTTGATATTTTCATTCCTTGTAATTATTGTATATATCATCAATTGTGATACATATAGATTAGATTTTATCACTGTATCGAGTGTGATACGATATTTATCCACTCAAGACCGTTAAATTTTCAAATATAAAACGCGAGGCTCGCCGAACGTTTTAAATATTTAAAATTTAACTGTCGAGAGTGGATAAATATCGTATTGCACAAGATTTGGGTGGAATCTGTTTCTCTAATGATTTTTAAACGATATGCATACAAACTCAATCCTTCTTTTCAAATGATCTGCAGAAAGATATATTCTTTCTATGTGCCATCATCAGGCATGGCAGCCTTTTTTCATGACGCCACAATAGGAAATTCAGAGGAAAATTTGACGTACTAATCGAATGATTAACCAATGAAGAACTGAGATCAAACGAACCACACGTTGATCAAATAAAAATTAATCAACTGGTCAGGAAAAGGATAAATCGTGTAAGAATTACAGAAATTTGTTTATACTCGATTAAATATCATTTAAGGTATAGAACCACTAATTCAGGCCCGGTCGGAAAGAACATACAAGAAAGTAGTACATATTTTAAACAAAATAGTTCCTACGCATAGCTGTATCTTTGTCAATAGTGGGAATATTTGGGTAGTTTTAGTATCAAATGAAAGCTTGGGGACTTGGGATCACTGTAGAACCCTTGTTGAAAGTTTTATTTGAATAATAAAGAAGTATATGAAATTTTAATAGGAGGGCTCATTTGGCCTGTTGTTCAGATCAGAAGTTCCTGTTTTTGTACTATCAAACTTCCGGGAACCAGTACGCTCTAATATGCAATTAAAGGTATGTTGATTTTTTCAGCACAAGTCAGCATAAGGTATACAGTTTTGACATGAAATAACTGCCACTTTATTTGAACTTAAGACAAAGTAGCCATTTATGCTTGAAATTGCAGAATTTAACATAGAAAGCAATGGGGCAATGGATTAGTGGTTTTATACCTAAAGATTTTAGATAAACACACCAGAATAAAACAGCCTTTAAACAGTGACATTGACAAATCCAACCAATGGTCCCTAAGTGTAACTATACTAACTATACTTGGTGACTATGTTGAACGTATCTTTCCAATCGAACTTGAGATACAGATACAGTTAAGTCTGCCTCATATCTTGACTTACATCTAGAAATTGACAATGAGGTCGGTTGACAACAAAACTTTGCGACAAAAGAGATGATTTCAGCTTCCCATGCAGTTTGGAACTTTCCATTTCTACGTAGCAACATTCCAGCAGCGCCTGCATATGGAGTATATTTCTCCCAGTTGGTACGATATTCTAGGGCTTGTATTTCCTATCATGATTTACTTGATAGATGGTTGCTGCTCACAAGGAAGCTGTTAAACCAAGTGTTCCAAGTGGTGAAGTTGAAATCATCCCTTTGTAAGTTTTACGGACGCCATGACGAGTTGGTTGACCATTATGGAATATCCGTTTCACAGATGATTGCGGATATGTTCCTAATGCCGTAACTGCAATCCCGTCCCCCTTTTCCCGAATGTGACCTACCGAATTAGACTTATTACCGGGTTTGTACTAACATGAGCAACACAACGGGTGCCACATGTGGAGCAGGATCTGCTTACCCTTCCGGAGCACCTGAGATCTACCCCCCGTTTTTGGTGGGGTTCGTGTTGCTCAGTCTTTAGTTTTATATGTTGTGTTTAGTGTACTATTGTTTGTCTGTTGGTCTTTTTCATGGCGTTGTCAGTTTATTTTCGACTTATGAGTTTGAATGTTCCTCTGGTATCTTTCGCCTCTCTTATACGTACTTCGTTTATGTTGGTTACTTTATGAATTATTACCTTTCTTATTCATTATTGAAAACTAAAGATTAATCTCTTTTGGGGATATTTTGTATTTTTCAAAGTCTGACAGGGATGATTATCCCTTTTCTCTTTGTTTTTAGACAAAAGACCATTACAGGTACTTACAAGTTAGGTATACGACCTCGTTGGTCTTGTTGGATCCTGCTAGCACCTAGTGCAGTTGGTAGGTTCGATTCCCGGTTGGGTCAAAATTGAAACAAACATACTGAACTCCAAGGAAAATTCAAAACTGAAAGTCCTTTATCAAATGGCAAAATCAAAAACTCAAGCACATCCAACGAATGGAAACTATCATATTCCTGACTTGGTACAGGCATTTCCTTATGTAGAAAGTGATTGATTAAACCTGGTTTTATAGCTAGCTAAACCTCTCACTTGTATGACAATCGCATAGAAATCCATTATATTGACAACAATGTGTGAGCAAAACAAACAGACATAATAGGTAAAAATGTCAAAATTAAGACTTTAAAAATGGTATTTGCTGTTTCTCTGCTAAGCATGCATCAATTAAGAGAAAGACCGAAAACTGGGAGTCTCGTAGTCAGAATAATGTGTCCCGGTGGGCTGCTACCTCGCGTAATATTGGCTCAGTGTGTTGGTTTTATTATAAAGCAGATTTCATATTCATTAAGTGTTCTCTACCAGATGTGTATGTAATGTTTTCCACTGGACGTTTAACACCAATTCAACATTATCATCATTATCCTTAACAGGTTAAAATATTGTTAGTAGCATAATGTTAATCTTTATTTTGTATGTAGTTATTTGTTGAGCCATAACACTAAGAACCCAAACCAAATTCAAACAGAGGAGTAAAGCTTCAAGCAAATTTCCCATGCTTTGACCCAGGACGTATATTGGAAATCACGAAAGAAGACCAACGAATAAGACACCTTTCTGTTGCTAAAAATGTCTATGATGATAAAAAGTTTGATCAAATTCCAGATAACTGAAAAAGCTTTTGTCTTCAAAATGTCAGAATATTAGATTTAATCAACCTTAGATTACTATAAAAAATAATGAGATGTGGTATGATTGTCAATGAGACAACTATCCACCAAAGTTCAAATGAAGTGAATGTAAGCAATTATAGGCAACCGTGCGGCCTTCAACAATGAAAACACCCCATACCGTATAGTCGGCTTTAAAAGGTCCTGGCATGAAAAATATGAGACAATTCAATTGAGAAAAATAACGACCAAATTTACAACAAAACAATTTACGAAAAACAAATATGACAGACATGAACTAACTACAACCGCTGAACTACAGACTCCTGACTTTGGACAGGCACATAAAGAATGTGACGGGCTTAAACATGTTTGTGAGCGTTCAATCATCCCCCAACCTGAGACAGTGGTAAGTGTTGATTTGGAACAAGCCTAAACAAATAAAAATTGTAGTGAAACTCATATCATAGGAATGCTTTGAAAGAACTTATCCATAAAATAAGACAAGTAGAAAAATCTATCTGTTAATTGAATTCAAAATCAAGAAAATCAAGAAGATTTTGAAAACTTCAAAATGTACTAAGCTATAATTCAATGAGTGGCAAATAAACAGAACTGTAGATAGTCAGATATTGTTATTGGATTGCCTGTTTACCTTCGTTCATTAGACAATTCGATCAGACCGTAGGGAAAGAATATAATAGTAATATTAATTCTGAGTTTACAGCAATGGGTGTGTCCTTCTGTCTACTGCCCTGTCTTGTGTAACTTAATCAACATTTGTCCTTTGAAGTATTCTCATCTATTTTTTTTTTTCATGTAGATTTGACTTCATGAATATGAGATGCTCAATTATGCTGATTTTAGCACACCTCAATGAATTGCATTTGTTGGTTCCACTTGGTTTAATAAAGGTACATCTGAGTTTATTTCTTAGAGGGTTTAAAAGGTGGGATAATCCAAATACAGATCCATGTTTTGAAGGTCAGTACCTAGACAAAAGTATGTAACTATGACCTACATTTTATACTTCACTGAATTGTTTAGTTTGACATTTGAGTTCATATCTGAGATCGTGTAAAATTGTATGTAATTGTGCATAGTATGTGCATCTTTGATAGAAAGTACATGTATCATGTATATGTATGCATTTAGGCAAAAGTTTATCACTGTAACATACATTTTATACTTCGCTTACATTGTTTAAGATTGAAGTTAAAGTTTAAATCTAGGCAACTAAAAATTGTTGAATCTTCTAAATTTGAAACAGATATATTTTGATTACAATGTATAATCAGCAGTCTACGTTTCATGTTTTTGTCTACTAAATTCTTTGATATTTTGTTTTCCTAGAATCTTTTATAGGATACTATATTTCATTGGTTAAGCTCATTGTTGAAGACTATATAGGACCTGTAGCTGTTCACATCTACTAGTATATTGTCTATAAAACCATTAGAATATTTTAAACGTTGTCAACGGTTAATCGATTACGTGATAAACCGTAGGAGGGGCCTTATATATATATATATATATATATTTCACAGTGAATATATCATTTTACAAACAAATTAAAATAAAAAAGATGAATTAAGTCAAGGAATTATTTTAAAATGCACAAATGTAATGCTGACAAATTGACAAAAGTAAAATTTAATAGACATGATATCAGTAATATGTATTTTATTTTAAAAGCTACATTTTACATGATTACAAAACTACTATACATCTGTTTTGACACATTAAATATTCTTTAAGACTAGTGCATGTTCTCTAAGTTTGATTAACAGCAAAACTGTCGCTAAGGAGCGTCATATTTCTAGGTCTTCGTGTCAAGCTTCGAGTAATATTAAATCATAAGCTGAAAAATGTATGGATCATCATCTAAAATAAAAACAAAAAATAAGTTTAACAGATGCTTTTTAGTCATAAGTATTGTAAAATGATGAACGTATTGTGTATTATGTTGAAACAAAATTTGTTTTGGTCAAATGTGGAAAAGAGTCGAGATTTAAGACGATTCCTACGATGACAAGGAAGAACCTAACACTTTTTCTCACTGTGTTTTGAAATTAATTTAAAAAAGGAGATGTGGTATTGGTGCAAATGACACACGAGTTTGGGACATGCATTTAACCACTGGTCTTAAGACGACTGATTTTTGACAGACATTAAAGCACTGGACTACCTACTTCTAGTTCAAGACAGGCAAATAGACTACTAAATCTGATTTGGTACAAACATTTATCCATTTGACTACATACACTTGGTTCTAGACAGATATCTAACCACCGAAGTACGAACATTTGATTTTGCACAGGCTTTTAACAACTGGATTTGGATAAGCTAATAACCACTGGACTACAGTTGGTTAGGGATAGGCAATCAACAACTCGAATAGTGACTTCTGTTCTGGAACAAGCAACTAACCACTGGATTACACCTGGTTTGGAACAAGCAACTAACCACTGGATTACACCTGGTTTGGAACAAGCAACTAACCGCTGGATTACACCTGGTTTGGAACAGGCATTTAACAATTCGAATCGCACTCGTGGTTAAGGAACGACATTCAATCACTGGACTACGAATACATGGTTTTTAACAAACACTTAACAACTTGAATATAGACACCTGACTGTGGAAAGACATTTCAATCATATATTGTGATTAAACATGTTTAAATATGATATGCTTTTCAAAATTGTAAGGACTGTTTAGTTACTATGCGATGAAGTACTGACATTAACTAACTCTGATCTGCAAGTTTTAATCTTGCAGATACACTGTATTTTAGCTTAAAATGAACGCAAACTAATTACTACAAATGAATAGAAGAATATTTGATGTAAATGTCAGCTAGACAGTCCAGAACACATAGAATTAAAATGCTTTAGAGAGCAACATGCAGTCTTCAACCAAAGTAATACCTTTCTGATATGTCAAGACTTTAAACGTCTTGAATCCAAAAAAGTCAATACATCTTACAAAAACTCTCATAGAAATATAAAAAACTAATTTTCCACATAAACAAAAACCATTCTGATTTGACATAAGACAATGACCGACGAAGTGCTGACATAGGACCTAGACATGCAAATTTGTCAGAATTTACCTAGTTATATTTAGATCTTAATCCTCCCCCTTCATTTGTTATAAACAGACTAACAAAAGGACAATGACCGACGAAGTGCTGACATAGGACCTAGACATGCAAATTTGGCAGAATTTACCTAGTTATATTTAGATCTTAATCCTCCCCCTTCATTTGTTATAAACAGACTAACAAAATGACAATGACCGACGAAGTGCTGACATAGGACCTAGACATGCAAATTTGGCAGAATTTACCTAGTTATATTTAGATCTTAATCCTCCCCCTTCATTTGTTATAAACAGACTAACAAAAGGACAATGACCGACGAAGTGCTGACATAGGACCTAGACATGCAAATTTGGCAGAATTTACCTAGTTATATTTAGATCTTAATCCTCCCCCTTCATTTGTTATAAACAGACTAACAAAATGACAATGACCGACGAAGTGCTGACATAGGACCTAGACATGCAAATTTGGCAGAATTTACCTAGTTATATTTAGATCTTAATCCTCCCCCTTCATTTGTTATAAACAGACTAACAAAATGACATCAAATAATTTAAGGAAAAAATCAGTTTGGGAAAGCTTTTCAATCTGAAATGATGGTATAATAGATATATATATATATATATATATATATATATATAACAAATAAACACAGTCATGTACAAAAAAGTAACTAAAAACAATATACTACCGTATCAAAGAATCTTAAAGTACTTAAACTGCTAATTTGAGACCATAGGTCGTCATATATTAAGTCGTTTACTGTAATTTACAGAAGATTCCATACAACAACGTTATAAAGGAAGAAACGATCATGTACAATGCCGAGAACAAACTGTACAGAATTTGAATGCAGAAAACAACAGAAACTTTTCGGTATTGCTTCAAACAAAAAAATAGTAATTAGATTTTTATTCCAAAACGCACCAGTCGCTGTCATTGACAACCAACAACACAAGTATAATCTTTATCAAAAGTCTTTAACATCAAAGAAAAAGATTTGAAATACAATTTCTAAACCTTTCAAATGATAATATCGTAAAAAGTTGGATTGAACTACCATTTTTATCATATTGTGCCATTTGGTTCATATTTTTTAAGCAAAATTGTTTTACATTAATCAGTTCTACACACGGTTATATCTCATATTTATTTGTTAATACGTGAAAAAAAAAAAACATGTACCCTAAGGTGGATTTTAAAAAGACTTAATGAATGTTAGACATTTCTACAATCAAATATACTTACAAATTCTAACCCAAGTTGTTCAATGAATTTCCTGTGGCGTTTGTAAGGTCAAGGAGAAGCAAGAATCCGAACACTGAAATAAGTATAATATGTCATACGATTATTGTTTAATTCAATATATCATGAACAATAAATATTGGAAATATTAGCTCTATATGAGTACCTATTAAAATTTATAAAATGGTTTTGCAGTGTACAAATTTTTTCGTATATGATGTACTAAAATTCAAACTTTTAGCCGGAAAAAAGATAATACAAAGAAATCGGATTTGTGAGATTTATAATTGAGGGAGATATATCTTAATGGTGCACTTTTTTGTTATACAAAAGTAGACTTACAGTAGTTAAGAAGTTTGGCTCCTTTGAGTTGAGCTGTGGCAGCGTTTCCATAGTTGTACAGTCCGGTCTGTTGTCTGTAGGCATTATATTGATTGTGGTAGTAAGCTGGGTATCCTGATTGGTATCCGGATTGGTATCCGTATTGCTGGGCCACGACGAAAGCAACAAGGCATGGGAGCAGGACAAGGATGATGGATTTGTTCATTTTGATGGTATTTGATGACTACAATTAAGAAATATAATTAACACTGGAATCTGACCAATTAACGCGAAGGCCAATTGCGGTTGGTTTTAAACGACTTGTTTTGTCAAAATATCTATGATCGATCCCTATACAATAAAACAAAGTACTGAACAATTCCCCCGAAAAACAAAAGTTACAAAAAAAAGAAAGAAAAAAAAGCAAAACAAAAAGCAAATTCACCTCCTAAATAAACAAAATAATTAAATAAAAAGCTATCAAACAAAAATAAAAAGTGAAAAAAAAATAAAACCTAGATGATAATTTTTGTTTTTCTGTCAATTATTACTTTCAGTATTTTTTTCTGTTAATCATGTGATCTCGGGGTTTGTTTTCATAAAGGAAAACATCATATCATATCTGTCGTATTAAAGATATTCTAATATATATAAATAGTGAAAAATTGTTATAAATTCCATGAAAACATATTGCAAATGGCAAGTAAAAATTGGTAAAATGGTTTTTCACAATGTCGTTATTTGTGTAAGTTTAAAAACAAATGAAATCGTTTGTTAGATATGAATTAAGCATAATTCAGCTATAAGACTCACCTTGAGATATCTGATTGAGAGTTATCTGTACGAAATAATTCTAAAGGTCTTTATATACTGTCAAGCAAAATTTTGCAAGTTTACATCATATACATAGGAACCACATACATGTATAATATAAATCGACAGTTTATGTAAGTCTATGTAATACGTCAATTTAGTTGTACACCAGACCAGGAACTTTTCTGTAAGGATATATGCTATTATAAACTGTTATATTAAATATAACGTAGTCTGAGATTATCAATTCGAAGATAGAAACATAAACATATAAAGGATATAAGTAAATATAAATATAATATGAAGTGGTACTATTGGCATTAAGACAAATATCAACTTAAAGACAAAGGGACAAAGATGTTTATATCTACTGGTCACTTCATACGCATTTGAAATATAAGCAAAACTATAACATCCAGTAAGATATTAAAGACTCCGGATGACAAAATACAAGCTTACCGATTTAATTAGATGATCAATAAACAAACTGTATTTAAATCTATACAACATATAAGTATACCATATTATCAAATAATTCTATAATAACTTATTTTTTATACAGTTCCTTTTTTATGCGTATTTTTGATACTCTTTTTTGTCTTTTCTTACATATTTTAATTTTATTAAGTGTGTGTACACACCTATTCTTAAATATTTTACTCTATTCAGGGTGCGTACACCCCAGAAGGGATGACAACTTAAGTTAATTATGATTTTGTACTCAAGTCTTATTTTCCACTTATATTTTCGAAATCGCCTATTAAATTTTAAGCGCTACTATATGCATAATTGCGATTAATTGTTATCATCTATTGTCAATAGGATTTACCGTCTCCTTTTATATATTTAACACTGAAACGTGTCATTCCCCTCGAACCGTATCCAATTCCCCAAATCGTGTCCTGTCGTCGTCATTTTATTCCCAAACGTGCCTAAATGGCGTGGGATGTGTACTGAATGATACTTTAGTCTTAGAAAACATAATTAATTTATTAGTTGTAAATGGCTTTGAATTATCTTTCAGTATCTGCGAGTTCTCTTAAATTGGTGCTTTGTGTCTTTTGTTTTTATAATATTGGTTTATTTGTGCTTCGTATCGATTTATTGAGATAAGCAATTTGAAACTGATTTTACAGTTTCTTCTTATGTTGTGATGTAACACCACTGTCCTAGGCAGGTAAGGGGAGGGTTGGGCGATCACAAACATATGTTAAACCCAGCCACATTCTTTATGTGCCTGTCCCAAGTCACGAGCCTGTAATTCAGTGGTTGTCGTTGGTTCATGTCTGTCATACTGTTATTTGTTTTTCGTAATTTGTATTGTATAAACTAAGCCGTTAGTTTTCTCGTTAGAATTATTTCACATTTTCCATGTCGGGGCCTTTGAAAGCTGCCTATACGGTATTAGTGTTTCTCATGGTTGAATGCCGTACGATGACATATAAATGCTGTTATCTTTGGGATTTGAACTCTGGTGGATAGGTGTCTCATTAGAAATCATACCACATCTCATTTTTTATATTGGAAGCTTAAACGTGTCCTTTCATTTACGCCCCAATCGTCTCCATTTTTGGAAACGCCCAAACGTGTCCATCTTAGACTACGAAAGACAATTCCGTTATTATGGCAATAGGTTGGAAACATATCCTGACAAGTAGATTTAATGAAAAAAGACTTTTTAGGGATTGTTTTCGTCAATAAATTTGTGATAATTTGCGAAAGTATTAAAATTTGATTTTGATTTTATGAAAGCTCAACAAGGTTGTTGCTTTGTTCATTTTACTTTGCTTTTTAAGTGAAGTGTAAAAGTTTGAGATGATTAAAATGTCACTGATGAGGTAGAAGTTATTAATAAATTAACTCCAAAAGGAGTTGACGAGGTGCATCAACAAGTTGGACATCTTCTGATAAACGTGTATAATTGCCACATTTAGGAGAGGGATTAACATACTGATCCGAAAATGAATAAAACTCTGTAAAATCACTTTTTATTATGCTACTCTTTCTATTATCTCATATCCTGTTATACCATCCTTCACTGCGTACGATATTACACGTCTTGAGCATTCTCTATCCGAATTACCACTGCTTCCCTACAGTATAATAGCTTCCGCTGAACATGGCGATTATCTTATAAATGACAGGATTTGTGCAATAGTCAACTGTATCAACTTTATTATGATTGTGGATGTGTTCGTTCAAACATTTGTTCTACCAAATCTTTCTATTTGATTCATTGAAGCATTTTTAAAGTATTCCGTGATTCCAAAATTGATAAATCCATTATTAGGTTAGCTTCCCTGAAGTTCCAAGTTATTACAAAAACATGGATATGAAGAGAAAGATATCATTAAAAAGGATAAACTATACTAGAGCAAATACGAATCTTTGCGTAAAAAAAAACTGTTTTGAATTACAAAGTTTTAAGTTATGATGTGTAAGTAATACTTTCAAAGTTATCCGGTGGTACTTGTCGACAAGACGGATTTTTTTTGCATGATTCTTGAGCGCATGCTCATTGTTTGAATTTTCGTGCGTACGAATTTATTTTGAGTTTGTGGAATAAAGTGTAAACATTTCTTTAATCTGCAATAAACCAGAAACATGTTTCTCTTTTAATGAGATTAATCTTATCGTACAGCTACGAACACATGAACATCACAGTCACTATGCTCACAGAGGTCTGGGGTCTAATGTTGCACAGAACTTTGAGTACGTGCAATTGAGACATAACTAAACAATATTCAGTCTTTGTGGTGATGTTTTCGTTGCTATGGTTACATTGAGTATCGATTCCTATTAATGAAGTACTCTGTGATTAGACATAATCCAGACACCTACTCTCTCGAAGTAAAAAAAAAAAGGCGCTTCCGGGAGCAAATTCAACTGAAATTGAATTCTTGTGAATTCAAAAAATCTTTTCCTCACAACAAAATAATCGTTGGAAAGAATGCAAAATGCTCTTTAATTGTTATTACGGCAGTAATGTGGCATTACAATGTATCCTAACGACACGATAACGTGTGTACATGCACGAACGAAGGTTTTAAAAGAGGAATTAAAACGGTCAACAATAAAAATAAAACTTGAAATCAATGATTTTAACTACACAAACTAATATTTTTCTAAAAAGATGACAGTTGGCATATGTATAGAATTTAGCAAAAAAAAAAAAAAAAAAAGTACAAACGTTTGGTATTGCTAAATCAAATAAGTTAATTTG